TTCAGACGCCGCCCGAGGGCCCAGGCGGCTGATGCGCGTGGGCCTGGCGCTGATCCTGGTGGGCCATGTAAACCTTCTGGTGGGAGCTGTGCTGCATGGTACTGTCCTGCGGCACGTGGCCAACCCCCGTGGCGCGGTCACGCCGGAATACACCACGGCCAATGTCATCTCCGTGGGCTCGGGGCTGCTGGTGAGCGTGGAGGGCGGATGGACGGGCAGACAGGGTGGGCTGGGTGCAGAGACAGTGAGCCATAGGCTTGTTGCTTCCGCAGAGCGTTTCCGTGGGACTTGTGGCCCTCTTGGCATCCAGGAACCTTCTTCGCCCACGACTGGTGAGAGGGGTGGAGGTGTCTCAGCTCTGACTTCCAATGGGCAGGAGCCTCAAATAGAAACTAAGTGTCTTGAGTCACCGGGAAGTGTAACCAGACTGCTCACCCAGAGGTCTTCTACCCCACTAGCACTGGGCCCTGCTGACGCTGGCTTTAGTGAACCTGCTTTTGTCTGCTGCCTGCTCCATGGGCCTCCTCCTTGCCGTGTCGCTCACTATTGCCAATGGTGGCCGCCGCCTTATTGCTGACTGCCATCCAGGACTGCTGGATCCTTCTATACCACTGGACCAGGGGCCTGGACACACGGACTGCTCCTTTGATCCCACAAGGATTTATGTGAGCTTATTCTTGCTGTTCACAAAACGTTGCCCTGTGTGCCCCGGCCCCATTCCAAGGCCTAGTCCTCTTTGTTACTTTTTGGTTTTAGGATACAGCCTTGGCTCTCTGGATCCCCTCTTTCTTCATGTCTGCAGCCGAGGCTACTCTTTCTGGTTACTGTTGTGTGGCTGCACTAACCCTACGGGGAATTGGGCCCTGCAGGAAGGAAGGGTTGCAGGGACAGCTGGAGGAGCTGACAGAACTTGAACCTCCTAAGTGTAAAAGACAGGAAAATGTGTAGCTACTCCGTTATCATCAGGATTTCCAGACTTCACAGAGAACCTGGGTTTAGGACAGGTGCTCTTCTGAGGTGCAATCCACAGGTGTCTTCTACTATGCAAGGGGCCCCTGACCCTAGGGTGATAGGAATAATTGTAATAAAAGTACTTGTTTTTGTCTTCTGCCTGATTGCAGTTCCTTTTAGAGTAAAGGGTGCTGTGCTGTGGTGGAGAGATGCTCATCAAAGAATGCGGCAGTCTCAACTACTCACAGAGCTTTAATTAAAGGGGGACAGAGCCAAATGCCTTAGCTGCAGCAGTCACTGAAAAGAGAAGGGAGAGATGG